GTCATCTGAGTAGTAATGAGCCTGCAATTTAAGTGACACAAATACAATGCAAATGAAATCACCAGGCGCAAGATTTAATGCAAACAGCGATGGAGGAGAGATCAGCATTATGGGGCAGCAGATGGCTTTTAATATTCTCAGCAGTGGAGAAGAGGCATGTCCTATTCTACGGACTAGGTAGTTCAATGCCTGCTGAGTTTGCTGTACTAGAAGATGTCTCTGTTGGAAAGACAGTATAAAATAAACTGGAATATGAACCGGCAGGAGCTGTTCATCAACTCTTTGTAGGACCATGGAAAATTAGGTTTGGGAGAGATGCACTTCTCTTATCTCTTGGCTTAATCATGCCAACCAGATGTTTGCCATTGACCTAGGCAGTGGAATCTAATGCAAAAAAAAATTTCCATATACAGCAAGGCTAGAGTTGGTTTGACAGTGGACTGAGCTTTCTCATGCTAAGCATAATTTAGCCTCAGGAACCTGCCACCTTGGCTCCTTCTGTAAGAAGTGGAGCTGGGCAGACCTCTCTAGAGGAGAGCAGACACCTAACAAGTTCTCCAAAGCAATGCTTAAAGGTGCTTCTCTCTTCTTATCAGATACAGTGGTGGAAGAACGTTCTTACACGCTCACATTGATAATTAGTGTGGTTTAGCTAATGAACTGATACCATTTTAAAGCTCACTTTGCTGTGAGTTCCCGGAAAAGCAGCCTGCAGATGTTGTTGTGTCTTCTGCTGACCCAGATGTTTCTTGACTGAGTATCTGTCTCCCCTCTTCCTAAACACAATTATCCCCCTTCATCACCAACTCACTCCTGTTTTAACGCGTGGACTGAGTGCCACCCCGCTGACATAAAGCGGACATTTCAATTCCCTGTGTAGTCACTAGAAAGACACTTACAGGACATGACTCATTGCACCCTTATCTGCAATCTGCTGCATGAACTGTCCCTTGAAAGTGCTACTTTCTCTCCCCTGGCTATGAAGGGTGTCCACATGTCCAGCTCAATGGAGATGATGGTGCAGACGGCTGAAGCTAAGCGAGATGAATCTCATGCTTGCCCTGGCAGGAGGCTGGGCTGGGGACTTGGACTGAGAATGTGGAATTGGAAGAGGGAGCATTAGGAATGAGGGAAAGTGTTTCCTAAGGCAGGGAGAGGGAGGAAAACTAGCCCAAGCACAGTGCACTGTGTAGAAAATGTACAAAGTAGAGAATAGGGAACATATTGTTTTTCTTATTCTGTTCTTCTGAGTGTTTATAACCTTCTTGGTTCTGTGGTAAAGCCACAGAGCTCAAACTCTTTAAAGGCAACCACTGCACATGTTATGGTAGCAGAACACAATGTCTGGTTTTGAGAATATTTTATGTGAAAGCCTTGTTTTGGTGTGCGGCATTTGGGTTTTGAATAGGTTTGGCTACGTTTTTGCTTAAATTTATGACTTTCGTAACACCAGCCTCTTCAGTATTTTCATCTAAAGGGAAAAACACATTACTGAGAAAGAAAATTGGCTTTTTAAACAGCAGCAAGAATTCAGATCCTTTTCTTTGGCTGGAACTTTCTCATCCTTGCCTTTTGTTGGGTTGGAAGGGCAGTAGAGAATATCCTCCCTGAAAATAATTGAACTGGATGACAAGCATGTGTCCCAGTCTTGGGTAACAATGAAAAAAGGTCTGGTGGGACTCTTTTGATTTCAAATGTGGCTTTAGGACTCATCTCATTTGACTTGTGGCCTTAGCATGGAAGTGGTCATTGAGTTTTTCACTGGAGCTCTCAGGAGTGGGATGGAAATTATTTGTTAGTGTGGATGATTTTTCTGACCTTGTAATGCATGAAACATTTTTCCAAATAAAGAGGGCCATATATTCTTTATTTGGGGGCTTGCACTTTACAAATGGAGAACATAAAGGAAAAGCAGCAGATGATAGAGTGCTGCTACCATGGCAGGGCTGAGGAACAGGGATTCAAGTGAAGAAAGTCATGGAAAGACTTTGGAAATGTGAGTTTTGGAGGAGATGGAGCAAAGAGTCAGTAAGCCAGGTTGTTCCAAGATTGAAGACCAGGGTCAGGAGATGGAAACCATGGGTAGAAAACATCCAAAAGCTGGACTTTGAAGACACAATTAATGCAACTGGAAAAACAGGAGAGACAAAGCTGGACATCGAGGAAGAAAGCAGGGAGATCCAAACTGCAACACTCTGAAGGCAACAGTTAGCAAAGTCACAGGTAGTGACTTTCTAGCGGTAGCTAAAGAGTGGATTTTTTTGCTGTGATAAAAGGGAAGGACATAACATCTCATCTCTGATGAGGTGGGGAGAAGATTTCTCCATCTGAAGGCAGAAGCAGATACTGCAGTATGTCTGTCCATAACATCTGCTTTTCCTCAGCAGATCACAATTTTTTAACAATTTTTCTAGCAATTTTTTTTAATTGTAGCTGTATGTTGGGCACTTTGCTGCTGGGGGCCACTGTAGCTGGAAAGTTTATAAAGGTATTTGCTCTCTGGTTGACCTTACAAGAAACACTTGTACGTGTTTGACAACTTTAATTTATTCTGCATTGCATATCAAATCCATGGGAGCGAGCACTAATATGCAAGTATAATGGGAAAGAAATTCCTCTCATTTAAATGACTGAGATCTGGTACCCATCTTGTGTGAATGAAATTCAGTTGAATGAAATTCTTTCTTTTGTGAGTTTTAATCCTTTCCAGGTTTAACTTGCAAATCTATTCAGTGTACTCCTGTAAGATGAATAGCAAGATGGAAAGGTCACAGGAGCACAGACCAGCTTTTATCTTGTATTTGACCCTCACTAGCATACTTCAAGCCTCATCCATGCCTGCAGCTTCTAGGTACTGCTGCTGTGCAGAGTAAATGAGATAAATGTGATGCTCTTCACAAGAAAATCACCATTTCTCTTATCCTCTTTAGCACTAAGGTGTAGTTTAATTTTTACTAAATGAATGATCATCTGGTGCCTTGGTTTCCCCTGATATATATCAGAGAATGTTGCCCTCTCAAAGCACTTCGAGATCAGTGAAACTGTTCTGTAAAACAAAGGGGTTTTATTTTCTTTTTCCCCTAATGATATTTATTCTTGATAGTGCATTTTTCCAGAAACCCTCTTGCAAACATCATCTATGGCAGGCTCTGTTTACAAAACTGAACTTGCAGTGCTGGTACGAGCTGAAAAGACTAAGGCAAAATAATACGAATAGCACTGCATGTGTTGAGACATAGTTGATTTTTGACCAGTTTGACCTAGCCTCTTTC